TGTCCAATAAAACTAAAGAAGTGATATTATTTATCTCCTTTGTCAATTTATCTAAATTCTAAACATATGGGATTAATTTTAATTTGTGAAATGACATCCAAGCCTTATTTTTTGAGTAAAAATTTTAAAATTCAAATTTCTTGTGATTCTTTTCAATTCTTTCCATTGTGATTTATGTTTTTCCATCTTCTTTCATGTTCTCCAGGCATCTTTCACCTCTTAACAATTAACTTCTTTAAGTTAAAAATTATTTGGAAATTTTAAACTGAATTTTCAAGATTCATTCATTAATTACGGACAGACCTGACAAAAATGACCCGACCTGTTTTTGACCCGAGACCCGACCCGAAAATACTGGATTTTGAACAAAGGTTTTGCTGACCGAACTCGAAGTTGACTGAACCCAAAATTACCCGTTAAAAATGCGTCAAACCCGACCGAAACCGAACCCGACCTGACCGCCCCTTTTATGTAATAATTTTTCAAAATTATATGCTTTAATATGTAATATAATGTTATAAAAATAAAATTTTAATTATATTTCTTTGCTTACTACTCGTTTTAATGTATAAATTTATATTTTCATACAAAATTTTAATGATATCGCATGATTATCTTACTTTTTTATAAAATTTTCTGCATATTTAGTTTTTTTATTCATAATATAGACAATCTGTCATAAAAATTATTTAAAATTTCAAAAAATAAATGAAACTCATAACTCGTTGGGTCAACCCGAACCCGATGGCATTGGGTCATGAACATATAGCTCTCAACCCGAACCCAAAGTAACCTGAACCCAGAGTGATCGAACCCGAACCCGACCCGACCGACCGTTTTGCCAGCTCTAATTACGGAGTATATATACTATGCAAAAGGCAATGTGTTTGTACTCCACCTGTACATAAAATAAAGTCACTATTTTTTACTTAGGTCCTCAAATAAAGTTCTCATTTATCATATTTTTAAGGAATAAAACGTGACATGTAATACCCCATTCGTCGTTTTAAAATATTCTCATTTTGACTCTTTGTAATTTTAAGGGGGTTGAAAAAAAAGCACTCCCTCCGTCCTAAAAATGATCTTCTGAGTCACTATTCATACAGTTAAACTTTAATCACTTTCTTTACTTGTTTTCGTTAGTTATTTGATAAAATAATATAGTCATGTCATATCTTGCTTTGTAGAATTTTTGATGTACTTTTAAAATATATAATTTTTATTTTTAAATTTTTTACCTATAATCAAATAAATTGGATTGAGAATAATTTCAGTCTAATATCGAAAATCGAAATTGAGAAGATCATTTTAGAATAGAGGGAGTGGTAAAAATTTTTCAAAATACCTTTAATGAGTGCATGGAGTATATTAAATGAGGTGAGTGGGTGTAATAAATAAAGTGAAATAGTTGTGATATTTTAAATATTAGAAAATGTAATCGAAAGGTCTATGGAGGACAAATAAAAAAGCTAATAAAAAGATCTACAATTGACAGATGGAGTACTTTTTTTCTCTTCTAAACAAATATAAAACACTCTCTTTTGACTTATTCAATATTTTTCTTAAATTTTGTGAAGTCAAAGAAGTTCATGTTGTGTTTTACAATATTTGACTGAATTTATTTTCAATTCAATTTAGTAGAAAGTTCATATGAAATTTAGAAATAAAATTTATATATTTAAAAACTATATCTAAATATTTATAAAACTAGAAGTGACATTAATTTATTTTTGTATCATAAAAGTAACAAAAATATGCTAACAAAAGTGATAAAGTTTGACCCGGCGAATAATGAACAAGAAGATAATTTTGAGGCGGAAGGAGTTATTATTTGATGAACATTATTTTTTTTTTGAATTGATATGATCTCAAAATAAAAAATTCAGTAAATATATTTTAAAAAAGAAGCAAAAACATGTTACAGAGTATAGTTTATTTCAAATAAAAAACTATTATTATTATTACTACTACTATTATTAAAAAACTATTATTTTTATTTTTATTATTACTACTCCGTACTATTATTACTATTATTATTATTTTTACTATTATTACTATTATTATTAGTTTATTTCAAATAAAAAACTATTATTATTATTATTATTATTATTATTATTATTATTATTATTATTATTATTATTATTATTATTACTAAGCTGCTACTACTACTATTATCATGTATATCAAAAGTAGATAACCGGTTTCTTTTAACAAAATGAGTGCACCGACAGCTGCTTACCTAAGCCACTTACCGGAAAATGTAGTCGTCGGCGTACAGCCTGTTCCCAGACTCCCACCCAACACAGCCCGCCAGGGCCCACTCTCTCTTCAATTGTTCTTTCATTGTAAAAGAACACCAAGATTATCATGACATTGGAAACCTATGTCATGGGATGATCCGGGGGCGCTCTGTTGCCCCGTTCGTAAAATTGACGATTCCTACCCCCATTAATCCTCTAGGTAAACCCCCCTTTCCCGCCCCGACCCGAACACACCCCCCACCCCCTTCAATTGATTCCCAATGTCATGAGAACCTTGCCCGTAAAAGAAATACGTTTGAGTATAATCCCAATACCTTTCAAAACACTAATCTCACCTTTATTTTGTACTTATTACTTATTTTTATTAAAATCAAATATTTTTAATTATAACAACATTCAGATCAGGTCAGATTAGAATTTATCTTTTACTATTATCAGTAAGGGCACTGGAAATATCCATGAAGCCCCGAGGCTTCAAACCTTCACTCTCGGTTACGTCAGCCTTAACTTACCTCATAGTTTCAATGGAAAAGAGTTTAAAGTCATAGACCTTCAAATTGGGGTTTCAAACTTTCATTTTTAACATTTTAAATATATATCTTCTAAAATTAAATTAATAAAATTTAATTATTTAGTTATTTACAAGAATTGAAAAGAGAATAATTCATTTAAAAATTACATTCATTAAAAAAAAATATTACATCCATAAAAAATTACATTCATTAAATAAAAATATTACATCCATATAGAAAATAACACTATGAACAAATTATTGATTATTTGAACGACTAAAGATATGTTTGATCAAATCCGTCGTTAGTGCATTGTGAATCTCTCGGTTTCAAATTTCTTGGCAGTTTCTTCGTTTCTTTTATTCATCGATTTATTTGTATATAAACACACTAAAATCATCCGAAAACGATTACTAAAATCCTCCGGTGTATAAACACACGGAGTATTGAAGTAGTCGTTGAGAAGTGAAGCGTGCATGGCCGCTCGATCCCGGTTTAAACGATGTCGTCGGGTCCGGCGTCAGGAGGATTCTGCTTCTTGTTCGCCTTGTTGCCACCATTGATAACAAGTCAAGACGAAACAGCGAAAAATGAGAGCTCTCTTTTCATCATCAGATGAAGATGATTCCATTTTTAAAATATTTTGTAGAAATAAATATAATAAATATAAAAATATTTGAAAGAATATTTGATAGAATTATAGGGAGAAGATAGAGTGAGATGTGTGAGAGATAAATTTATTTTGATTGAATTTATAGGTTTTTTTTATTAAACTTACTTTTTTTGTGGTAACGGCTCGTTTAGCCGTTGGGAGGGGGGAACTGCGCCAACCCTAGGAAGGGCAACATCAAAGTTTTGACACAGGGAAACTGACGCCCTTAACGCCGCTATGGGGGCGGTGTTTAACGCATGTTGGGCGTCAAAATGATGTTGACGCCGGGGGGCGTCAGCCCCATTTCCATTGCTCTAAGAGTCAGATCTAGACATTATCTCTTTTATATATCTTTTACTCTCAACTTAACTTCAACTATGCAATGTATGTTTTGGAGGTCGATAAGTATAACTTATATCCAGATTATTACCAACAAAAGAAATATGATCGAGTATGAAGAATTATGATTTTTCCTTAATTGATTAATAGGAGATTACAACAATAAATACTAGGGTACCACTCATAATAATGGTAGGAGAATATAAATGAAAGCCTATACAAAAGGTAACTATCAATAATGTAAATATAATACCCCGGAGTATATTTTACAAAGTATTGAATCTGTCCGGTCAACTATTGACAAATGCTCAGATCGAATGTTTGGAGAAGGATGACTAATCACGGTACTGGAGTCAATGACGAGTCCGAGAATGAATCGTCATTTGGTCATATATCTTATGCAGAAGTGTCAGGCATGTCTCAATCTAGTGAAGATCGGTACTCTTTCACTAGTCCGCATGTGTTTTCCACGATGCGTACATTGTCTGGTAGACTAATATTATGCGGAGGCATGGAAACAACTTTAGAAAGATGATCAAGTGTTCTTATCATATCATGAGAAGCCCCTCTATCAATCAGCCAATCAAAACTCGTAGCAGGAAACATTCCATGCAACTTTTTTGTAGAGGGAGACTCAAGCATATTACTGAGGGAGGAAGTGGGATGAATGTGAGTTGTGGTGTTGGCAGGGTCACTGACAGGTGTGCTGTTGCCGCGAGGGTGTCAGTGCGCTAGTTACTGCCGCAACCACCAACGCCATTAGCAGGATTCCCACGACCTCCTCAGGCAGCCCCATGGCCTCCCCCTCTTTGATTTGAACTGTGACCTCGTCTCGGAGGCGGAAAGCCAACGATTAAGAAAAATGGTTACTAGTACGACCAGTTTTGCCACAATGAATGCACTGAAAAGGCTTTGGCCTGGAACAAATAATGGAAAAAGCCATGGCATCCGTGTGATTGTCCCTGGAACGGGCCACCGTGCGATGTCGTTCTTCTTGAGTAATAATGAAGAAAGCTTTTTTAAGGCCGGGAAGAGGACGAGGTCTGATGATTTGCCATACTCCTGGGGTAGAGAAAAAAATATTGGTGAAATGAGTTCTTCACCGGCCTTTGGTGTTTTTTGTTGCCACTTAAATAAGTACTCCTTCAGCCCCTTGGACTTTGATCAGTCACGTTTGGACTTGTCCAGTGATATTCGACTAAATTTACGCCATTGGTAATGACTAATGAGCATAATAACAGTTTAGTCAAATTAAAATGGTGAGTAATAAAATTTGTCTTCATACAATTTAAAAAAGTGATTCGATCTTTTCTACTTGCCAGGTAAGAGTAAATTTGTCCAGTCTTCAAATAAAATACTTTGTAGAAAGATTGATCTCTCAGGTTGGCTAATAAGAACCAAACACTCACTTCAAATCTTAGATTATGCTATTCGTTTTGGAACGAAGGGAGTATATTTCCAACTTTTATTAATTATTTGACTAAATATAAAATAATCATGCTACTTATAACTCATATTTTATTTGGCTAAATAAAGTAATCATGCTACTTAATGTAATTTTTTAAATATATAACATCTGTTTAAGATTTTTATATCAATTTTCAAATTAATTAAATTAAAATTAATTTCAATAAAATGGATAAATCTAATCAGAATTAAAAATAATTTTAATAAAAAAACATATGCAACAAGAGCTTATTCTCTTCAATGTATTCTTAGAGTAAATTTCATAAATGATCCCCAATTACAAATCATCTTCTATATTTAATCCCAAATTCTAAGATTTAATTAAATGATCTTTAATTTTTAAAAATCTATTCCATAAATAGTTTTAATGGTCCTCAATTTTTAATAACTACGTAGTATTTCATAAATAGTCCCTTAGGCCAAATAAGACGAAAGAAATTTCCACAAATAGTCTCTGCAAGATTGATTATGAGATAGTTTTTGAAAATTGAGTATCATTTATGTAAAATCCTAAAATTGAGGACTAAATATAAAAATTACATGTAATTGGAGATCATTTATGAAATATATTTATTTTCTTATTAAATACTCTATATTACTTATTCTTATTGTAATTAGATCAGAAATAAATTTAAATATAAATATAATCAAATCAGAACAGATCAAATTAGATTTGACCATAATAAAATCAAATCAGATTCAATCGGATCCAACGGAAAAAGATCTAAATCGAAACCAAATTTTTGTACCCCCATTATTCATAATTTATCTTTCCGCTTTCTTTATTTGTCCGTCTAATCGTCTATAAATTATCTTTCCGTTTCTTTTTCTGTTTTTTCTTTAAACTCATCGCCAACCTCACCTTTACATGTTAATTATTATCCACCGCTTATACTTTATTTCACATTTTACAATGATCTAAGTGTTGGGATTCCTCCAAGTTCCACACCGGATGAGTAGGAGTAAATGAACCAAAATATATAGGTTCACCCAACTCCATTAGTATGAGGCCTTTTGGGAAGTGCCCAAAAATAAATCCGTGAGGGCTTGGCCCAGAGCGGATAATATCATACTAATGCGGGGTTGGGGTAAGGGTACGCGCAGTCCCAACACTAAGAATAATTACAGATTACAGGAAATCAAAATATTTTTTATTTTTTCTTAACTTGCGTATAAAGTCAAAGCGAAAAAATTATTTTCGTTGCAGAGGAATATATGAGGTATGACATCTTGAGATACCCGGTGAAGCAAGTTCAAAACAGACAGCCGATAAGCCGAAGGCCCGAAACCCATTCCCGAGCCGTGTGGGGGACGGGAGACTGGTTCAGCCGGTCTGCGAATTATTGAAAGTAAAAAAAAGGAAAAAAAGACAAAATAATAAATTCAAGAAAATGACACCCATGTCAGAGGTTGTCTTGTCCAGAAGAGATTTGGCTGATGGGCAGAGCAATAAGTCTACTTCTTCACAGCATTCCAAAGAATCATCTTACTCACCAGCCGCTTCACCCCCCTTTCCTCTCTCTCATTTCTCCAGATCTATTTTTAATTATTCGATTTATTCATGTATTTATTCATCTGTAAATCCAGCATTGTTGTTGTAAATCATTTCTGAAAAAGTTAAATAATTTGACAAATTGTACTGTGAAATCCTCCGTTTCTGGGAGAAGAAATGGAGGCCGGAGCTGGGCTGGTTGCCGGATCTCACAAGAGGAATGAGCTCGTTAGGATCCGCCATGATTCTGATAGTGCGGTACGCTGTTTCTCTACCCATCGATTATATTTTCATTCTTGAATCTCATTTTGGAAATATTGGGAGATTATGGAGGGAATAAGTGGTGGATTTTCAGTTGTAAGTGTTAAAGTTTGTTTTTTTTGGGATTGATTTATTCTCAGTTGATGTTTGATCACACTTTAGATCTGGGTGGTGGAAGTATAGTGTTGAGTTTGAGCTAAAATTTGGATCTTTTCACCAAATTAGGACATAATGTGCTGAACTTTTCTTTGAAAATGTTCAGATTTCTTGAAATCTAGGCTCGGTTTGGTAGCCATGATCAACTTAATCCGATTTTTCCTTTTATCTTGAATGAACATAATTATTTGGCTGAAATGGATGCTGTCAAACTCTCTTGATGTCTGAAAATCTAACCATTTTGTCCAAATAGCTCTTACCAAATAGACCCTTATTTGGCTAATGTGCATTTGAATTAAAGATGTGATCTTTAAAACCCACTTTGAGCATTGGTCTGTTGGTATATTAGTTTGAGTAAGAGATATTAGTTAATTGATCCCACTGTTTGTCAAGTGCAGCCGAAGCCAGCGAAGAATCTGAACAGCCAGATATGTCAGATTTGTGGAGATGCCGTTGGGGTGACCGCTAGTGGTGATGCATTTGTTGCTTGTAACGAGTGTGCCTTCCCTGTTTGCCGGCCTTGTTATGAGTATGAACGCAAAGACGGGAATCAAGCTTGTCCCCAGTGCAAAACCAGATACAAGAGACAAAAAGGTTTCTTTCCCCAAAATAATACTCCGTAAGATATTTAAGACCCAGTTTGGTAGTGTAAGTTTGGCTGTGATTTATTAATTGCTGAAGCCAAAAAGTACATCCAGCTCTACCTTTTCTTCTTTCATTATTAACACATTCAGGGTAGTGTTTGGCGAATAATCTGGTTGATAAGCGGAAAAGTTACTATAACGACCAGTAAGAAGTTTTTGTCATTTGCTGAAAGAAACCTTTTTTGTTCTTTTGCTGTTAGGGAGTCCACGGGTTGATGGGGATGATGACGAGGATGATATTGATGACCTGGACAATGAGTTCAATTATGTCAATGGGAATAGCAAGGCGAGACGCCAATGGCAGGAAGATGTTGATCTTTCTTCTTCTTCTAGGCAGCCAATCCCTCTCCTCACAAACGGGCAGCCTGTAAGTGAGGATGAAACAAATTTTCAGCATCAAGATATCTTTTTCTTTATTATTGCTTTGGGTTGGTTACATCTAGTTTCCCTCCCATGTGTTTGATCAAACTACCAAATGACTCTTGAGGTGTCTGAAAATTATAAAAGGCTAGTTTGGTTAGAGTCATTTGCGATGTAGCTGAACCTTCCCATATATCTGCAAGGAAATGTGTCTGCTGATAAGCAGCAGAATAAGCTAAGCTGCCTAATGCGGCCATATTTTCCTTCATTTAACACATAAAAAATCTATCTTTGTTCTTTAGTCTTCAACAAATCAAAGACAAATGATCAAGCTCTCCTTGTTTTTGTGAAATCTGTTAAACCATGTTTTTTTTTTGTGATGCTTACAGGTTTCTGGTGAAATTCCGCCAAGTGTTACACCTGACACTCAATCTGTAAGAAGCATGTCAGGACCTTTGGGTCCCGGTGAAAGGCATGTCCACTCAGTTCCATACCTTGACCCTAGACGGCCAGGTCAGATCCTCACACCTTCATTGATATGTGTGTGTGCGCGCGCGCGTGAGTGTACGTGTGTGTGTCGAAGACTTGGTGCCCGTTTGGCAACAACTTCAACGTTTAGCTTTAGCCTTTTGAAAAGGCTATCTAATGGTAGCGTTTTCGAAGTTACTCTACACCATTAAAAATAATCCAAAGCACAGTCTGAAAATGATCTTCCCAAATGAGGCTTTGTTCCTTTTTTTTCTGACGGGAATATAGTATCTTGCAGTTCCTGTGAGAATTGTTGACCCTTCAAAGGACTTGAATTCCTATGGACTTGGAACTGTTGACTGGAAGGAGAGAGTAGAGGGCTGGAAACTTAAACAGGACAAAACTATGGTGCACGTGAACAACAGAGACAACAGACACTCAGACGGGAAAGGAGGAGACAGTGAAGTAATAGGGTCAAATGGAGAAGAGCTACAAATGTGAGTATCTATCTTTTGTTTTGGTCTGTTTGGTATGGGCTCTTTTGGCTGCAATGGATCAATAGTAGTATCTATTTCAGCCAAATAATTAAGTCATAAGCTGCTTTGAGCCCTTAAGTCCGGCTTAAAATAGTTTACTCTGTCATTTTGATATGTTCAAATAAATTAAAGAAATCAAGTCCCAAATAGAGCCTTTATCTTTTGGAATAGTGTCTGTTAATAAAGGTTTGATTTTTATCTCAAACAATGTGGCAGGGTGGATGAAGGTCGCCAACCTTTAAGCCGTATAGTCCCTATTTGTTCTTCCCAGCTTACCCCTTATCGCGTTGTAATCATACTCCGGCTAATCATTTTGGGATTCTTCATGCAATACCGGCTGACTCATCCCGTGAATAACGCATATCCTTTATGGTTGGTATCGGTCATCTGCGAGGTTTGGTTTGCCTTATCTTGGCTCTTGGATCAATTCCCAAAATGGTCACCCATAAACCGTGAGACGTACCTAGACAGGCTCACCTTAAGATATGATAGGGAAGGGGAGCCTTCTCAGTTAGCCCCTATAGATGTGTTTGTGAGTACAGTGGACCCCTTGAAAGAGCCTCCACTCGTCACGGCAAACACGGTGTTATCCATCCTTTCAGTCGATTACCCCGTGGATAAGGTCTCATGTTATGTGTCTGATGACGGGTCAGCTATGTTGACTTTCGAGTCCCTCTCAGAGACTGCTGAGTTCGCGAGAAAGTGGGTCCCTTTTTGCAAGAAGTTCAATATTGAGCCTCGGGCTCCTGAGTTCTATTTTGCTCAGAAGATTGACTATTTGAAGGACAAGATTCAGCCTTCCTTTGTGAAAGAGCGCAGGGCAATGAAGGTAAGAGGTCGAGGTAGTGTTCTTCTTAAAAGGCTTTATTCTATCTGAGAAAAAAATGGTATTTTTTCAAACTCATTTTATTCGTGCTTTTCTTGATTCTATAGAGAGAAATCAAATGACATGCAAAAAAAAAGTTCAAAAACATTAATCACATTTCATTTATATTTGCATTTTACATGGTATGAAAATAACCTGCCCTTGGCATTTTTTATGGGATCCAAGCATACCTTTAAGGTGAAATAGGTGAAAGATATTAGAGTCTCTCTCCCCCAAATTATAAAATCTAATGAAGGGGTGGGCCTAGAACAATTGGCAGAGTCTCTCCCCTCGTGTCCTTAAAATTAAGGGCTTGTTCTCATAACACAAAGTGCCTCAAATTGCAGAGGGAGTATGAGGAATTTAAGGTACGCATCAATGCGCTTGTTGCAAAAGCACAAAAGATGCCAGAGGAAGGTTGGACGATGCAAGATGGAACGTCTTGGCCTGGAAACAACCCTAGAGATCATCCTGGAATGATCCAGGTATTTATCAATTTTTTTTTATGTTGTATTTTTTTACAAATTCAAAAAAATTTCTTGAACATTTGGAATGTACTATAGATCATCATGGAGGTTTCTTTTAACTTCACGATTTCTGTCTGTAAATAGGTCTTCTTAGGTCACAGTGGGGGGCTGGACACGGATGGGAATGAACTTCCTCGCTTAGTTTATGTTTCCCGAGAAAAGAGGCCTGGATTTCAACACCACAAGAAGGCTGGAGCTATGAATGCTTTGGTAGGCAACATAATAATCTATACTAGTATTAGAAAAAAATGCCTTTAATTTATTACTTTATGAAATTATTTTTTTGACACAGTTTTGTTTATAATTCAGGGAATTCAGTTAGACATGACACAATTTCGGCAAATTGATAATTAATTTTTAAATGCAGATTCGAGTTTCCGCTGTTCTTACCAATGGAGCATATCTTTTGAATGTCGATTGTGATCACTACTTCAACAACAGTAAGGCACTCAAAGAAGCCATGTGCTTCATGATGGACCCCGCGTATGGAAGGAAGACTTGTTACGTTCAATTCCCTCAGAGATTTGACGGCATTGACTTGCACGATAGATATGCCAACAGAAACATTGTGTTCTTTGATGTATGTTATGTGTGTCTACTTAGAATTATTTAACAACGGACCGTTCATTTTTGTGTGTTTTTTTAATAATAAAAATGTTTGTTTTTTTAACTCAGATAAACTTGAAGGGGTTGGATGGGCTTCAGGGACCCGTATATGTGGGAACTGGGTGTTGCTTCAATAGGCAAGCTTTGTATGGGTATGACCCGGTCTTGACCGAGGCTGATTTGGAGCCAAATGTCATTGTCAAGAGCTGTTGTGGTGGATCCCGGAAGAAGGGGAAGAGCGACAAGAAATATTTTGACAAGAAAAGAGCAGCCAAACGGACTGAATCGACTATTCCCATTTTCAATATGGAGGACATTGAAGAGGGCATTGAAGGTATAAAGAATGTTTGATATTCTTTGTATTAAAATGATTTTAAAAATGAGTTATTTACAATTGGTGCCTTCGTCGTGTAGGATATGATGATGAGAAGTCTCTTCTCATGTCTCAAAAGAGCTTAGAGAAGCGATTCGGTCAATCTCCGGTTTTTATAGCCGCCACCTTCATGGAACAAGGTGGGATTCCGCCGTCGACTAATCCTGCAACCCTCCTCAAAGAAGCAATCCATGTTATTAGTTGTGGTTACGAGGACAAGACCGAATGGGGCAAGGAGGTAAATTCAATGTTTTCTTTTCTCATTATTGACTTCATTAGTGATTTGAGATGATAAATAGTTATCCGGGTTTTTTTCGCATGCAATAATAGATTGGATGGATTTACGGTTCTGTCACGGAGGATATTTTGACGGGGTTTAAGATGCACACGAGAGGATGGATTTCGGTGTATTGCGTCCCGCCACGTCCCGCCTTCAAGGGGTCCGCACCCATAAATCTCTCCGACCGTTTGAACCAAGTGCTTCGGTGGGCTCTCGGATCCATTGAGATTTTCCTCAGCCGGCATTGCCCTATATGGTATGGCTACAATGGGAAGCTTAAGCTCTTAGAGAGGATAGCATATATCAACACCATCGTCTATCCGCTCACTTCCATCCCGTTGCTCGCTTATTGCATCCTTCCCGCCATTTGTCTTCTTACCGGAAAGTTCATCGTTCCAGAGGTACATTGATGGATACAAGACATAAACAATACTTATTGCATTCTACATTAACTGTACGTCTTTCTTGATACATTGAAAGATGAATGAATGTAGACACGCGTCATGTCTACATTCATTCATTTTTTATTGAGTTGTGTATTGCATCATTTTCTTGCAGATAAGCAATTATGCAAGTGTATGGTTCATTCTTCTCTTCATATCCATTTTCGCGACGGGGATTCTTGAGCTGAGGTGGAGCGGCGTGAGCATAGAGGACTGGTGGAGGAATGAGCAGTTTTGGGTCATCGGGGGCACGTCGGCGCACCTATTCGCGGTGTTCCAAGGGCTCTTGAAAGTGCTCGCTGGAATAGACACGAACTTCACGGTCACGGCCAAGGCGTCAGACGAGGACGGGGAGTTCTCGGAGCTATACGTGTTCAAGTGGACGTCCCTCCTCATCCCGCCCACCACCGTCCTCATCGTCAACCTCGTCGGCATCGTCGCCGGCATCTCGTTCGCCATCAACAGCGGGTACCAGTCGTGGGGCCCGCTCTTCGGGAGGCTCTTCTTCGCCTTCTGGGTCATCGTCCACTTGTACCCTTTCCTCAAGGGTCTGATGGGGAGGCAGAACCGCACGCCCACCATCGTCATCGTCTGGTCCGTACTCCTCGCGTCCATCTTCTCGTTGCTGTGGGTCCGGATCGACCCGTTTACGTCGGACAGCGCGAAGGCCGCCGCCGGGGTTCAGTGTGGCATCAACTGCTAGTTCACATCTTGTATCTGTATGTTATGTTATACCTGGTGGGTGGGTGGGTGATATTGTAAGTTTTTTGGTGTTTATACACTTAAAAAGTGTTCTATATTTATTACTATAAACTTTTGCAAGGGTGCAGTGTGTGACACAATGCTGTTTAAAGAATTACAGAGAGTTAATGAAACCATTTGTGGAAACTTTGAAACTCTATATACATCCTCTGTCCCGTTTTAAATCGCATGTTTTGGCTTTTGGGCATATTTAAAGAAAAGAAAAAATAGAATTGATTTTTCGAAATTGTCATTACTTTTTAGGGGTGGTGATGAATGAGAAAGTAAGATTGAAAAGAGTGATTTATTTTAGGGGTAGTTTAGGTATTTTACTCTTAAAGATTTACGATAACAAGTAACATGCAACTTATTTTGGGACGGAAAAAAAAGGTAAATAGGTAATTTAAAATGAGACAGAAAGAGTAAAATAGTAGAGCAATATTGGATTGGTGTATATAGCCTGTGGATGCATTATAAATTAACACTTCTTAGTTCTTATACATTACATTAATATTTCATTTCGTATTCAGTTTCATCTTTTATTTTTACTTTCATTTTTTTTACAATATCTAATTCTCAGTAGAACTTCATAACCATACTATTAATTTTCACTACTAATACTTACATTTTTGTATATAAACATACAACGATAATAAACTCAGTAGAATTTCATAAAAAGTAGAGCATGGAAAAATATGATATTTTAGAATACAAAGATTTTATTTGTATTTGAAAGTAGAGGGATATGTATAGATAAGCATATCTGGTAAAATATGATATTTTAGAATTGAATTTGAAAATGAATGTATTGATATTAAGTTTATACGGTGCGAATTTAATTTTTTTATATTTTGTGGTCAAAATTTGTAAAAATTGGAATAGAAAAGTCAAACGAGTATAAAATTGCTACCCTTGGTACTCCCTCCATCCCATTTTATAACGCCTGTTTTGGTTTACGATGTTTGACTGAAATTATTTTCAAACCATTTTATATGACAAATGGTATAGAATTAAAAAATAAAAATTTCATATTAAAAAACTACATCAAAAGATCTACAAAACTAGTAGTGACAATAATATTTTATTTTATCAAATTGCTAACAAAAATAGAAAAAGAAAGTGAATGAAGTTTGACCATGTGAATAGTGAACATGTATTATAATTTAGGACAGAGAGAGTACTATTTTTGTCCCATTTTATCTTTTTTTGTTTGGTCCAATTATATTTGTCACATTTCATCTTTAGTCATAGTTGTGTGGTTTACAATCATTCCCACTTCATTTTATCTTTTAACATAAATATCAACCACACTTGATTTTCTTAATTTTTGTGCCGCTCTCATGTCCCAAGAATAGGACGAAGAGAGTATAAGATTGAGAAAGTATTTCTAAAGGAGAAAATGAACAAAAACTAAAAAACACATCGAAACGAAACAAGAAAAAATGAACCATCATTTAAAAAAATTAGCAAAAATATTATCAGATGTTCAATTTCTACTTTTATAAAAATGCAGTTTTCACTCGTTTTTCTTTGAGGAAAAAAAAAAAGACAAATTATAACACAATCTGGATAGGGATATGTATATACTGTCAATGTCAAGAGACAGCAAATATAAGAAACAATCGTGTGATCCAAAACAAAAGCCAAACATGTTTTTTCTCATAGGGTGTCGCTATATCCACCTCCATTTTGGCTATATATCCACTCCTTTTATATTAAATAGACAATTTTACCCATAAAAGTGGCCTTGCATCAAGATTCTCTCTTTTGTATTATTGAGGTTAAAACTGTCAATTTAATTAATGGAGTTGATATAGCCAAATGAGGGTGGACATAGGCAACACCCCTTCTCATATCATGAAAACTTGCAAGTTGCAACAAGACACATTATTGATGATCATCAAGGTAGAATGCCTGGGAATACTGGTTGCACAAATCATGTTGGAGGAACGATATGGCGGATTTATACACAACTAATTACATCTTGAACGGGTTCTTAGTTGGCACTAATCTGCTGAAGATTTCGGCGCGGGGACTGAAAATATGGGTGAAGATGGCGAGTACCATCAAGGTAAACACGGCTTTGCATTTCAATCAATCGCGAGACCTGCGCCACACAAAAAATCACTCTTTCAGCAAACTTATCGACTGCTGGGGTTAGCACGACTCCGTTCATACCAAAAACCCCTTGACACTACACGTTACGATGTTTGAATGAATCTATTTTTAATTCAATTTATTTTGAAATTGGTGTAGGAAAAAAAACTTTATTTTTAATATTTAAAAACTACACCATATGATATATAAAACAAGAGGTGACATGATTATATAATTTGTCAAATGATCAATGAAAGTAGGTTTAAAGAAACTAAAAGTTAACTCTAAAATAGTACTCCCTCCGTTCTCAAAAACACTTCCTCTTTCATTTTTTTCACTTCCAACAAAACACTTTCCTTTTCTATTAAAAAACCACTTTTACCCTTACTTTTTCATACCCTACCTACCACATCATACTTTTTCTCTAATAATCTATCCATCACATCTTACTTTTACCCATCACATCAGGGGCAAAATTGGAAATCAACTATAATTTAGCACTTCCTTATTTTTGCCCCAAATCAAAATGGGAAGTCTTTTTGCAAACGGAGGGAGTAAGTGTTAAGCGTTTTTTTTGGACAGGGAGTAATAAAGGGTAGTCTGGTGAACAAAGCATCCTCATTCCTCGCTGAGCTAGGGGTGGACACGGTACGGTTCCGGGACGGTTCCGGTTCTGGAACCGCCGGTTCCGGTACCGGTACCGGTTCGGCCACCCATAATTTCTTTTTTTTTTTTGCTTTTTTATTAAATTTTTAAAGTGTAGAATTGTAAATGTGAAATTGTTAAAAGAAAGGATGAAATAAAAAACTCTAAAAATGAAATTAATAAAGGAAAGAATGAAATAAAAAATAAAAATAAAAAAAAATTAATTACGGTACCGGAACCGGTACCGCCGGTGCCGGTACCGAAAAATGGGCACCGGAACCGGTACCGGAGTGGGCGGTACCGGAACCGGTGGACCGTCCCGGCCGACGGTAACGGTACCGGTACCAGCGGTACCGTTTCCGGTCACGGTACCGTACCGGTACCGTGTCCACCCCTACGCTGAGCAAGGGTCAGGAGAAGGGTCCCACCACAAGGATGTGATAACAAAAGGAAAAACATAGGGGGGGGGGGGTAGGGATTTATTACTCACAGCACGTCTAAATGCAAACATCTCCTCTTGGCCAGAAAGCATTGAAATAATACCGGTTGGTGAGCCTCCTGAACTAATACCACCTTCAGCTAAAACATCTCTCCGAAGTCTCCCGCCTTCTGTTTCTGTTTCAAATTGGAAACTAGAAAAAGTGCAAACTGAACTCAATCAATGGACTCTATAGATAATGCATATATAAGGTTCTTATACAATGCCATATTCCTTGGAAATGGGCGTCTCATTTTGTAATTCTTATACATATGTGCTGTTATATGTATATAAGTGAAACTGAAATGATCTTGAAAAAGATTCAACACAATTATATGCTCCCTCCATCCCAATTTTGATTACAATTTTTTTCCTCTCCTCTCGATAACTTTTGTTCATTTGTGTGTTTTCATTGATTATTTGATAGAAAAAAGTATTCGTGTCAGGGTGTCACTACTTGTTTTGTAGAACTTCTGACGCAGTTTTTTAATACTCGGAGTATGTAATTTTATTTTTTATCGATATACCAATTTGTAAATAAAATGATTTCAAAAGATGGGAGATTTTGTTTCGTAAATCTCAATTTGTAATCAAATTTGGAGCGGAGGGAGTACCAAGTTTTTGGAAAATTTATGTACTTTTCAAAAATATTCTGATACATAGATTCTTTAGGATGATGAGGGCCCTTAAAATCTAACATTTTTTTGCATTGTTAATGGGAATAAGGAGGGTATACATATACTTGCCTTTCCAAATCAAACAATGTTCCTTCTTCAGTTCCTTGAAATAGATCATCTACAGAAGCTTCAGCAGAACAATAGAGGCAGCAATGATGATTGTATAATTCATCAATCAGAGTGATAAACCTCCTAGCCTAACACGCAGAAAGAGCTATACAAATTTAGTAGCAAACCAGGCCAAACTGTAGAGCTTTCACAATCCAGTAGATTTAGGCTCTTATTGGAAGATTATTGGTGCCTTGAGGGTCAACTTAGTTAGGGTAGATGTTAGAGCACTAAGAAACTGTGTTTGTGAAAACAGCCAAGTCGGTCAGATAATTACATTAAAAAATGACCATATTTAGTGTTGGGTACATTTTAGAGAATTACATAAAATCTGCTCCGTATAAATTAATTTTGGAGTTTTGGGTTTATTTGCATGGACAACTCTTGAGGACAAAGGGTGATTGAAATGTGGTGTGATCACTTATTCTCTTATTCATTCAATCTATACAAGAACAACGCACCCGGTAAAGTCCAACAGAGTGGGGTATGAAGAAGGTATGTGTACAGAGAGCCCTTACCCCATACCTGAAAACTAAAGAGGTTGTTTCTAAGAGACCCATGGTTCAAAACAAGGAAGCACAACAACAAAAGAAAGAAGCACTAACAAAGTAAGAAACACAAACAAAACAAACACACATGCATAAACTACAAACTGGGGCACAAAAACACACATGCAGAAACTACGAACTAAGGCCCAAATGAGTACCCCGCCTTTAACACACCTCACATGTTCCAAATCCCGCACCTTTCCCTTGATCTTTATATATTTATATTTAGATATAGACTTAACCCTCCAAGCCCCCTTCAAACTCCTCCAAGAACCACCATCCAAATTAACCCAAGCGAGATTTTCGTAACAAAAACCACCATCCAAATTAAACCAAGAGAGATTATGAAAAAAACAAAATGACCCAAGAAAAAGCAGCTAGCTTAACCTTGTCCCTGATGCGCATGCTCATCACAGGAATGTCTGAGATGAAGACTGTGTGATAGTTGTTAGCGATTGCAATATAATCTGCCGCTCCAGTCTGCAAACAAATATATTATACGTATCACACTATAGTCAAATGACTCAAATCCAAGAAGAGCTATTTAAACAAAATTGCTGCCTACCAAAAAAAAGTTACAGAAAGCGATAGTAA